CAAACAGACATCCCGCTGCAGTAAAACGATTCTAAGTTCGTAGATCTGCACTGAGAGCAGATTTCATGAACGCATGAACTGAGGTGATGTTTGACGTCTCGGTGCTGCAGGACTCCATCACAGAGGAGGTGGTGGAGCTGCTCGCGCCTTACCTCCACATGGACGACTACAACATGGAGACGGCCAAGAGGATCTGTGGGAACGTGGCGGGGCTCTGCTCCTGGACTCAGGCCATGGTCGACTTCTTCAGCATCAACAAGGAGGTTCTTCCTCTGAAGGTGAACGCAGAGCCGTCAGTATCCATGAGAGTAGGAGCCAGCCTGACACAGGCGCTCATTATAGTGTGTGTGTCTGTGTGTGTGTGCAGGCTAACCTGGCCATGCAGGAGGCCCGTCTGCTGGTGGCTCAGTCTGAACTCACTAAGGCTCAGGAACAGCTGGATGCTAAACAGCTGGAGCTGGACGCGGTGCAGGTAAAGTGTGTTTGTGTTACCGCTCTCAGACTGTCGTCTTTAATAAAGACTGAACTGAAGTCAGTCAAATCTCTAATCATGAGGCCGTTTCCTGTTTCACTGTCACTGCAGGTTTTCGACTCTCTTCAGTTTTATTTGGGTTCAAAGTCTTGTAGAGTTTCTGTGCACAGCAGCATTTCAGCCTTGCTCTGTTTTGGTGGGTCAACAGCAGCCATAACAAGAAATGAGGGAAAATACAAACTTCATGGTCTCTGGTTTGTTGATTTTTTTTTTTGATACTTTTTATTTATTTATTTATTTATTTATTTAGTTAGGAACATTTTTATGCAGAAAAAACCCCCCAAAAAGACAAAATATTATGAGGTCATGGGAAGACAATATATGCCCGTGTATACAGCTGCACATCCACACATACATATATCAATACTTTGGTATTGCAAGTTTTATGCATTAAAGAGTGCTGCCACAATTTGTAAAGCCCAGCCATTTTCTCCAACGTCTCCTCCCCAAGTCTCCCTGAAGTCGCAAGTGAAAGTCATACATTCCATCAATTTGATGTCTTCCATTATAGAGCTAAAAAGTATTATAGTGGGAGGGTCTTTACAAAGCCAGCGTTTTGTTATAGCCTTTTTTGCAGATGCCAAGAAAATTCTCAGGAGATAAACATCATCTGTAACTAAATCTTCTGCAAAATATCCCAGATACAATGATGCGAATGTACAAGTCACATTGAATCCAAGTACCTTTGTGATTATTTTTACAACTTCCATCCAGAATGCTCGTATGGATGGGCAGGACCAGAATATGTGTCCGTGATCTGCCATGACTTCCCCACAGTTTCTCCAACAAAGCGCAGGTGTAGCACTGAATTTAGACTTTTGTTTAGGTGTTATGGAAAAGCGTATGTTCTTCCAACAAAAGTCCTGCCACATGTTGGAGTTAGTTGTGGTAAACTGTGTTTCCCAAATCCGTGTCCACCCATCTTCTGTAATCTCAATGTTCATTTCTTTTTCCCATTTCTGTTTTATGTAAATTGTTGAGCTTTTTGAGCTTAGTCATACATTTGTACAGTTTACTTATCAGGGCTTTGCTACTCCCGGAGTCATAAGCGTCAATGAAGATGTTAACAATCGAGAATTCTCCAGGGACACAGCTGTTTATTCTTTTGCCAATATAGTCACGGAATT